ACCCTGGATCTGCCATGGACTAATAACTAAAGCTGGATCAGAACAGGCCAAGTTGCTTCACATTGTCTTGGAATAATTTTGAAAGGTGAATAGGATTATTTGCATCAAATAGACAAAGCAACTGAGGTCCAGGGAGCTTAGAGTCATACAAGCAGAACATGGGACCTCACCTTGTTCTTCCCCAAGATGAACAAATCCACCAGCTCTACTAGCCTAAACCACAAAGTCCCATCCCACAGAGTGTTTGCCAGCAATTAACCTTCATTCTTACTTGCTGGGTGGCACCTCTCCACCCCTACCAGATCAAATACAAACACTATTTTCCAGAACTAGAATTCCCCTAGGGCCCCCATAGCCCCCTCTTGCCTTTTCCTCTTACACAAATATTCTGCAGGCAGATTTAACAATTCATGTCTCATGCCTGAGTTCCAGATTCTGACAGCACAGTGCTATCTGTGTGAGAAAAATCAAACAGCAGAAAGGCAGCCTGCTTTCAGAGATGGAGTGGAGACCTGATGGATTCAACATAACTGCCTAACAAAGTGTATTTATGAATATCATTGGGACAAATGTCTCCCATAACTGCAACCATCACCTCCTAAAGTCACATCATGGAGACACTAGAAAACAAATAGGATTTATAACCTGATTTTCTATCAGCTGGTAATGGTTGCACCTTCATCCGGTCTCCATTGTGAGACAGCATGTGACTCCAACCTTCACTCTAACTCCTGAGGCAAAAGGAAGAAAACCATATGTATGCTGTAGAAAAATCCTTCTGTACACTGTGAATATGTATTGTTCTCATTGTTAATAAGAAACTTACTGGCAATAGCTGGGCAGGAAGAGATTGGGCGAAACAATCTGAAACAGACAGAATACTGGGGAGGGAAGGACAGATTCAGAAGAGTCTCCAGTCTCATACAGAGGGATCAGGAGATAAATGTGCCATGCTAGTAAAAGCATTGCCACATGGCAGAGCATAAATGAGGAATATGGGTTAATTTAAAATGTAAGGGTTAACTAGTAACAAGCCTGAGCTATTGGCTGAGCATTTATAAGTAATCTTAAGTCTCTGAATTGGTTATTTGGGAACAGGCTGTCAGGATAGAAAAACTCCACGTGTGTGTGTGTGTGTGTGTGTGTGTGTGTGTGTGTGTGTGTGTGTGTAATTGGGGGCTGTGTTTAGCTGGGAAAATTATATATGCTCAGTATGTGTAAGGACTTGGGTTCAATCTTCAGCTCCCAAATAAACAAGTAAAAGTAAATATTGACTTCATTAAATGCCTGCTTTTTTGATGCATCAGGCAACCCAATATGTGCACGTGCATTAGTGTGTTTGTGTGTATGTGTTATGTGTGCACACATAAGTGTGTCTCTGCAAGTCATGTGTTTGTGTATGCCTATGTGTACACAAGAAGACCTGTTCACATCTGTGGAGGCCAGAGGTTGACACTGTTGTCTTTTTCCATAATTTTCCACCTTATTTTTTAGGTAGGGTCTCTCCCTGAATGTGGAACTCAGGCTTTTGGTTAGACTGGCTGGCCAGTGAGTTCCAGGGATCTACCTGTCTCCATACTCTCAGTGCTAAGGTTATAGATGTGTATCACTATACCTAGATTTTCTTTCCGTATCTTTAAGTAGACTGTGAGCATTTGGAGATCATGAGCAGGCTCTGTGGTTTTCAATATCAAATCAAGCAAGAATATCACAGAGCACTATGGACTGAAATTAAACTACTAAAATAAGAACTCCCATGGCTGTTTCCATCCAAGACTAAATCAGAGAACTGAACTCTTAGCTTCCATTTTTTAAATAAAGGCAGCAAGTAATCAAGCCCAGCATCTCTAAGACAAGAGAAGGTAAACAGAACTAAAATGTTCAATCCCCTTTATTTTTTAATGAATATATGATATTAATATCATTGGCATTCTCTTAACTGTGTGAACCATTTTATTAATGAATTTAATTGGCTATGAAGCATTTGCCATGCTTGCCTGGGGATCACCATGACCCCTCTCATTTAAACGATTTTTTTTCCCTTCTTGGAATGACTCAAAGATCATTAACCTCTTTCTAACAGGGAGGCCGGAGTGACTACAGGCATGTCACATAATATAACCTGGGAATAGGCAATTAGGAATAAGCTGCTCTGCTTACACCTATTTTAACCAATAAATATGCCCTAAAGTTGAATGGTGTGCAGCCTCTGGGAGCTAGTAGGGAGGCAGGAGCTTAAGCCAGCACAGGGAAAGCAGTACTACATCCTTGCTACGCCCTGTCAAGCTGCATCCATCGTATTAGGCCAGGAGTGAAGATGTTACGTGATGTGACCGATGGGATCAGAAGCAATAACAGCACCTGTCAGCCAGTGCTTTCTTGATGATTCTAGGATAAAGAGAATGCCGACTAGCATTCTGGGTGGAGGAAATCTGGTATAGAAGAGTGAGAGAAAAGGCTACCATTCCTCATTTATAAAAGTGGTAATTGGTGGTGAGGAAATTGTAACATGGTTTTATTTCCCAAGTGTTATTTTAAGGTTTTGTTTGCAAGCTGTAATATCCATAGACTTGTTTGTAAATAGACTAGGCTTTTCAAAACCCTGCATACAGCATTCTTGGAGTTGGGCACTCTCTCTTCGAAGTAGAGCCAGAGGAAAATTTTGTAGTGCCTTTTGTTTCCTTGGAGTGAAGCAGGGGTAGCTCATCTGCCCTGCACAAGTATGGATCCAATAAAAGAAACTGAAGGCTGAAAGCACCTGGTACAAAGTCCAAGGTGATTGAATCAAGGCTTGTGTCTTTGGTAGTGTATCCATGGAGCTGGCAACTTGGAGCAGATGAATCCCCTAATAGTGGTCATCATGAAACAGATGCAGCTCAGCTCTTTCCTTAGCCAAGAGTGTATTACTCTTGAATGTGTCTGCTAGCACTGACACACACACACACACACACACACACACACACACACACACGGAGTCTACCTATAGATAATCTAAGGGAAGAACATTCAAATAAGGAAGGTCTCTTCAGAGAGTATAACCTCACCCACTTATAACTGTAAAATGTGTCATATCTGCAACTGGCCTTTGCTGTTGAATTCCTAACTACTCATTAAGATTTCTTTAACCAGTTGCTTTCACTTTAAACCTATTTGACAGACGTGGATCACACACATGGTACAAAGAGAGACTCAAGATGTGACTAGAGTAGATCGGTATCATCTTGGATTTTCCTCATTTGTTCAAAATCAAGGTCAAACCATATCCTTTGAAAGTGTAGATGTGATGTAGTGTGGACAATTGGAGCATTCAATAAAGAAATGTATTGTTGAGCCATATTGCCTGTTCAATATGTGAGTTTATTGAACATTCTATGTGCCAGCTTATTTGCAAGATAACTTGACATCAGCAGCATCCCATCTACATTAGTCAATATGTATAAATGGTCAGCAGCTCCTGGAACATGGCAAGGGATTCATAAACATTAGTCCTGTGATACCTGAGCTTTGGCTCTGCCTCCATTTTTCTGTCTTAAGTAAAGTCATATATTTCCCCTGAGACATGAAGTTTCTATTTGGGATCTTGGTTTCACTGCACTAAGGTAAATCTCCAAAACTTTAGCTTTGGAGCATTGTGGCTTTGGATACTCCAATAACACTTGTCTCTGGAAACCTATAGTCTGGCCTTAGTTTTCTGGGCAAACTGCATCTTTGAATCCAGACCTGGAATTTACTGTCCAGTTTTTGTTGGGGGTGCATGGGTAGAGCACTGAACCTAGGCCACCAATTTGTGGGTTCTTCACTAACTCATATCTTGGCTCATTCCTCCCCAAAACTGGCTGTTCTAATTCAAAAGGATGGCTCTGAGACTTTGTTCCACATCTGTCTAAAGCACAGGGCAGGTGCTCAGTAACTGTTTTAAAACAGCTGAATTTTTTATAGACCTGCTAAAGTAGTCATGAAGGATCTTGAGTTATAGGTTCTGTATTCTATTTATGGGGTCACCCATTTGACCTTTCTTGGTGACAGGTTCCACAGAATGGAGAGAAACTTGGTGGGCATCATGCACGGTCCATTGCATTCTTGCTGACTGTTAGGTTAGTTATAGGCCATCCCACTCTAAGCCTTACCTTTACCTGGTAAGCAAGGCCATGTGCCTTTTTTATATGCTTGAATTCTGAATGAAATTACCCAGAAAAGAGCTTTTAGGAAACAGAATCAACAGTAACAAATGTTACAGCCATGTGTTGGAGTCACATATGGAAACTATGACCCTGAGTGGAGGTTCTGTGGGCCACCTGGAATCCACAAAACACCATGATCTTTCACAGTCTCAGCACAAAGGACACACTCAATCCCAAAAGCTGAACTAGGTGAGAGTTTAACGAGCAGAAAATATGAGTATATTGCTAGGTATAAATGCAATTGAAAACCAGAGCAAGTATCCAAACCTATATAAAAACACACATCATAGCTGGAGGCTGACCATCAGAGACTTTCCATTAAGATCACTGGCTATTTTTTTTTCGTGAATTTGGTCATTGGCAGGTGCACATAGAAGACCAAATAAGAAACCATTCCAAATTCTCAAGAGAAGAAGTTTTAAAATGAGAAGATTTCATACATTACCGTGAAAGAAAAATTCTAACATGATTTGATTTTTTTATAGAGAGAACTTCAGAAAAAGCAAGTAAATGACAGTAGTTTTTGCCTTAGGTTAAGAAAGTGCTTCCTAAGAAAGAAAACCGATCTGCTGAAGCCCAGAAGATTGGCACGTTTAATATCAATCACCTCTGCACATCTGGACAGAGCCCACTGTGAGAGACATGGTGAGAAAGGCACATTCCATCCTACAGGATTTTACTCAAGACAATACAGAAAAGGATAAACACTGCTGTCTACTGCTGCTTCCCTTCCATCTTGCAGACAAACACAATCTTGAAAACCAAAAGCATAGAAAAGGTAGTCAAAATTTTAATTGCAAAAAGACATATATATTTTACCTTAATTAGATAAGCCCATTGATGTCTAAGAAGAGCAGCAGCATCCAGGTGTCACAAGTGATGCTCTTTACCCTGGGAACACAAAAGGCAAGACATCTGCGTTTAAATCTGCTGATTTATGTTTACACAAGGGAATAGGGGATGGGGGAACAGAAAAGGGCCTTCTTATTGCCCAGAACTAAGAAAACTAGTCATTATCCATCTTCATCTACTCTCCTTCTAAGGATACCGGGCTATCTAGAATGGTCATTTTGGAAACTGAATGGATTCCTACAGGGGACAGACTTTACATGGAGGAAGAATAAAGGTACAAGCCAAAAATGACTTAGTCAAGGGACTGGAGACGTGGCTTAGCAGTTAAAGGAGTTTGCTGTTAAATCATGAGGACCAGAGTTCAGACCCCAGAACACTTGTAACAAGCCAGACATCCAAGCAAACACCTTGAACCCCTATTCTTAGGGGGAAGAAACAAATGAATCACTAAGGTTTGCTGGCTTCCAGCAAAGCCAAGAAAACAGAAGTCTCAAGTTCAGACAGAGCCCCTCTCTCAAAATAATAAACACACACCCATACACTCTGACACAAACACTCACATATACACACACTGACATATACACACACATGCACATATACACATTCACACACATACACACACACACATTCACATACAATCATTCTCACACACACACTCACACACACACATGCATTCACACAAACATTCATACACATACACACACATCTGAAAACATAAATAAATTAAATCTTTAAAATGTTTCAGTAAAATTATTACCCAAAGTTTCCTTTTCCTTGTCTGTGAAATGGAGGTAATAATAGCTAAACAGCATTATAAACCTTTGGCTTACAACAAATATTAAACGAATGCACTGTAGCACTCTGTTCACAGCAAACACTGCAAACATGTTCCTGATGGTTTCCTCTACAATTCGCCTCCATCTCTCTATTCATTCTCTTGCAATTGCTTTGAACATCTCATCAGTGACATCCCCATGATGTCTAACTGAGAAAAAAACAAAAATAAACAAAAAACCTTCAGTGACATCAAACCAAATTGGGAGAACTAGGATGACAGAAAAATGCCTATGCATTGAATGTTTCCTATGTGTTTTGTACATGCACTATTAACCACGTGCTTGTAATGTGATACCAGTCATTTCTTTTACCCTCATAGTGACATGTTACAGTGGCTCTACTAGCAGAATAAGGGATGGGGAAGTTAGGAACCTCATGTCTAACTGCACAACCCCTAGGTGGCAGAGCTGGTATGCAAGTACATGGTGCCTGGTGTTTTGTATGCTCACCACAGTCCCGTACAGCAAAGGACTGCCAAGTGCTTCCCCGAGGCCTCATCATCCTTTCCAGTTTTTGCATTCCCCTTCCTTGTCATCTTCATTCCTAGCCCTCGTCTCCTTTCTTTCCTTCCTTCTTTTTCTCCTTCCTTCTTCCTTCCTTTCTCCTTTCTTCCTCGTTCTCTTTTTTCTTTCTTCCTCTTTTCCTTCAACTTTTATTTTTAACCGTCCATTTTATTGTTTTACTTATTTTGTTATCTTTTTTTCCTTAGACAAACCAGGATAGACTATGGATCACTACAGGACAGTGGGCTCTCCTCTAGAGCTCAGACCTTTATTTTAACCCGTGAGCAATATTCTCTATGTGTAGTCTCTTAGTTTCTTTGAACATTGTATATTTTCTCTGTAAAATGAGTGCCTTAGATGATACCAAAGCCCTTTCCAGCTAATCATTCCTATAACTGGCTGTTTGGAGAGCAGTGTTAGATCGTGCTTCTATGAGATGTTCATGGACACAGAACAGTTACAGCTCCATACAGGAAGTTGCTGGCTTTAGTTAGAACTAAAAGTTCAAATTTTCAGTGGGGAGACATTTATGAACATTCTTTGAAGAGCTGACAAATGAGGAAATTGAAATTCAAAGAGCAGAGGCACAAACAAAATCCAATGTGTCTCTAAAGCCCTTGTCCTCTGTGCTATCCTAAGCCTACCAGAAAACATCATGTAGAAAAGTGACTGACTCAAATTAAGGAACTGACTCCATTTATAGTAAGTCTAACTCAAACTTACACTGATAATAATAAAACTAATCTATAGTGTGAGCTTATTATACATAAGCCAGAATAGTCAGAAGTTTACATGTATTCTGTTCCTCCCAACAACCTGAATGAAGGTGCCATGGTCACCCTCTGTGGATCTGTGTGTAATTTAAGGTACTAAGACTGAAAATTCTTGTCCAAGTCACAGATCTTGTTAGCAAGGAATCTATGGTTTGAACTAAAAACAACTAAACTTTTCATGAGTCAGCTGATGTCCCCTGTCATCTGGGGGTTAAATGCATTGTAAAGATAATAGCCATCATTGTGATTACTGGGAGGGAACCCTGCCAAGGTTCCTGTCTGTGATGGTCAGCCATGAAGACATCCTGGTCAGTTAGTAATTCAGAGACTTCAATATGAGAGAAGAGAAAGACCTTTGACAAAGGTTTGCCAGAGCCTATTGAGAGCCTGCTTTTTGGACTCTTTCCCCGTTAAAGCCACTAGCCATTGTCATTCACTGTGGCTATAAGGAAAGAGAAGACACAGTGTATTTCAGGGATCCTATTTGTCACTGAGATCCCTGCATGCTTGAAGTCAGCCTGACATCTTAAGCTCCTCCTACTTCTTGATCAGAGGGAAACCAAGCTGCAAGGAGAGCTGAATAAAGAAAGAGCAAAAGCTGGAAAGATGTCACATTTGTTTAGCTGTTCCCAGATTCATGGAGAAAAAAAAATGTCTTGGGGCACATTCCAAAAAATAAAACCAGCCCCAAGATTAGGACAGAGTAGGCAGGGAAGTGTATTTGGCTTCTGCTAGGGATTTGTTTGTATATTTGAATTACACCATCATTTAGCTTTATTTCATCTAGGACCTGGCTGCCAAATGAGTATATTGATTGCCTGTCACAGAGGCATATTACTCAATTAAAAGCCATCAAGTCTGGTAAAATCTCCACCCTGTCAAGACCAACTAGTGGCTCAAGCGGTGCCACTGAGAGAAATCATGTTTGTTACATTTTATTGAGCATCAGCTACAAGCCTGGCTCCCAACATACGCCAGCTCCTTGAAATGTCACAGCCCCTTTCAAAAGAGATATCATTGTGCTTCCATCTTTTTAAGTGAAGAAATCGGCTCAGCAGGACTAGAAATTCTGCTCAAGGCCATGCAACTAGGAAATAGTGGAGCAAGATTTGAATTCGCACTTGCCATTCATACTGCACAGGGCTCACTGGACACACAGGCAGTGTGATGCACTGAGTAGGAATGGATTCTGTTGCCACAAAGTTTGGCTCAAAGAGTCAGCTGTATCAAGCACAAACTCTGAGACATGGAGGGAGGGAAGGTTTTTACATTCTGTGCCTCAGTTTCCACCTCTGTAAAATCCAGGAATGAATAGTTCATAGACTTTTTAGGTTTGCATGAGAGTTATCTGTACAGCATTTAGGCTGGTGTCGGATACAAGGGTCACCTATTATTTCCACATCCCCCTGATAGTGTGAAGGAGAAATTGTAAATCTTTGACCTATGAAAACTTGTTGTAGGCACTTTGTACTTTCAAAGACTTTACAACAATTCAATTTTCCTCCCAGCATCCCAGTGCTCCAGGTCACACCACTGTCTCTCACTCTCCGGCTAAGATGTGGGGAACTGCTGTGCTAACACAGTTCCAGTGTGCTCAGTCACGAATCTCCTTACTACAGCAGAATAAACAGGTAGCACACCAGCCTTCCAGTTATCCACGTGGCTCACATATCTTGAGTCCTTGAGTCCATTCCTCACAAATCTAAAGTATCATGCTAATCTCTCCACTTTACAAAGAAATGTGATGCTGAAACTGAAATGACTTGTGCTCAGATCCACTGAGCTGGTCAGTACCTGGGATTTGAACTTAAATATGAATCTCTCCCAAATTTGTATGCTTTTTTATAAATTGTGGTATCCAATCACTAATTATTCCTTTCCTTCATCATGAATCCTGATATCTGTCACCTTTGACTTTTATCCATTGAACACTTAGTTTATAAAGCACCTCCCATATGACACATGTGACAGATGTGCTTACAGATGTTGTATGAACACTGATGAAAACAATAAACTTTTTTTTGGTCTTGTTCCAGGTTCACAGCTAAAGGAGGTCCATATCAGCACATACTCTCTATGTGTCATGCAGGAACTGATGAGGGTGCTAGAAGAGAGAAAACTGAGGACAAACAGGCCAATGGATGGCATCAAGTTTGTCTTGGAGAATGACATTTAAGGAGAAAGGAGGCTAGGAAGGAAGTAACATGACAACAAAGTAGGAGGGGAGCACATGCACAGATCTAGGGCCAAGACAGGAGCACAGAACCAGAAGAAAAGCACCACAAGGAAAGGGCATAGGGTAGGATACAACTCAATGGGGAAGATGAAGCCAGATCTCAGACTCTAGTGTGCCATAGGAATACTGGGGTTCAGAGTCCTATAGGTTTAAATGACCCTTGGCCAGTAATGATTGTTGTCATGTCATACAAACAAACATCTTATGCACATATGGATGCTTCCCTTTTTAGACCATAAGCTGATTAGGTACCCAGGAGAGTGTCCAGGACAAAGAATACATTTGCCAAATGGAATAAGTGAGTAAATTAATGAATTGCATCTGTAACACTGTAAAGTTTTGTAGAAAAAAATTTACTGAACAATAAACATACAAAGGCTGAGGTAAAGAAACCAATGCCTTTGTTCTTGGCTCAGAATAAAATCAATCCAAAACAAGTATAAGTATTGAAATGCTGAGGTAAAGAAACCAATGCCTTTGTTCTTGACTCAGAATAAAATCAATCCAAAACAGGTATAAGTATTGAAATGTAGGTCTGTAGTATCTATTAATAACAATTGTCACCTTTAGTAGATTGGAATTGGGTTCAATGATTCACATACAACATGATTTTAATGACAACTAATGTGAGGCAGTTAATGTTAATCCCACTTAATAAGGGAAGCAAAACAAACTAAAAACACAGCAATT